TGGTGATCAGAAGCAAAAGTGATAGTGATCACCGTAAGAACAATGGCTATCTGAAAAGAGATGGGACGATAGGAGGCTTGTAGTACCTTTCAGTGCCAGTGTTGTTCCTGCTTTGTAGAGCTCCTCCTCGCTGGTATTCAAACTGTTTCCCATAGATGCTCCACTGCCTGGAAGGGGGGGCAAAGAGAAATGTAGAAGAGAAAATGAGCACTAAGGGTATTCCATGCAAATGAGCTGCAGAAATGACAATACAACAGCAACATATGATGATAATAGTATGTTCTAAAGTGAAGGTAAATGCCTGTTTGTGAGTGACTCCCATGCGTCAGCTTGAACACTTGAAAGCAGCTCGTCTTTTCAAAACGTTACGGGGGCCAGCACATTTTCAATAATGACGACGCATGGGAGCAGAGGAAAACATCTCCTCTTTCATCTCATAACCGTCGACGAATGAGCAACAATAGAAAGGAAAAAAGAACGATTACAGAAGATGGGTTATCCATAATTGGAGTTCATTCCAGTTTATCATTAGCCAAACAGCCACTTTTCTAGAAGAGCGCAGGGTATGTGTCCCCTTGTACTGATAATTTCATGCAAATTAGAAGTGTCAAGCTGCAGTTGTTTAGGCTATTAAAGATCGCCAAGTGATACACACAGGGACAACAGACAGTGTTATAAAAAAGCAGATCATGTCTTTCTTGTCCCACACACCCTGCATATTCTCTCCTATAAAGCAAACATTTCTTGATTACAATGATGTTGGTTTTTGTGCATTTTATTATTTATATATTTGACTCACTGTAGTCAGAGTCTTCCACCCCGCTGTCATCAATGCGGTTCTTGGCCTCGTCCAGGACGTGCTGGTAAGAATGATGTTTGCTCTCAGAGGGGGCCTTTAGCTCCTCCACCACATCCTGGAACTCCTGCAGCACATCGCCCAGCTCCAGCTCCAAGTCTGTGGAAAATGTGACAGCAGTTTGAAAGCAGGCCCAGACTCCGCAGAAAGGAAACACCGAGGCTGACAACGAGCAGCAAGGCTGAGACGGCGATGGAGTGAGTGAAAATAAAGTTCAGCACTGAATTTTAAAAAGTTCAAATCAGTTTGATATTAAGGATCTCCAAAGTAGAGATAGGCTGATGCATCTGCCAGCTGATATTTTTGGCTGTTATTAGCATTTTTTCTTGTATCAGCATTGGCCAATATATGCATGCTTTTGCTGATTTATAAGTGTATTAAGCAGCCATGCCAGGAGATCATGTAAAGCGCACTACTCCTCCTTCTATTTGCTATTTTATTCATAACATGTTTTCTTTGATTTAAATCTTTATGTTAAAAGTGAAACTTGTGTTACATTTTTTATTATTGTTACTCTTATCATTTAAATGGAAGAAGAAAATAATCGGCCCAAAAAATAAATTGGCAGCACATTTCAGGGTTAGACTGATGTCAGAATAATTTGCAACAGCCTTAAAAAAAACTTGTATTATTCAATCTCTAGTACAAATATCCTTAAAAAGTACATAAATAGGTTAAAACGAAAAACAACACAGTTTAGTTTGAGTTTTTTTGTATCTGAAGATAAATTAGAGAAAAGAAAAAAAGAAGCCTTCTGACACTAGTGTGTTTATGACTAGCCATTACAATGTTAGGAACTTTATTATTTTAAATTTAAATTTGTCATCATAACTCCAAATTTTGGGGGATTAAATCATTGGAGCACTGATAAAGTAATTTAGTTTACCATGATGCATTTGTTTCACACAATATGCAGGAAACAAACTGACAGTTTATAGAGTTAAGAATTATAATATAGCACATTAACAGTTTTGTTTTTTTTACCATCTCTGCAATAATTCAAGGTCTGTTTTTAAGGTATTATTGGACTCACCAACTGTAATTTCTGAGGACATGATGGAAAACGAAGTTCAACACGAGCTGCCGCGTGTCTCTGCTCAGCGCAGTTTGAAGCTGTCAGGAAGCTGGAGTCTTATTCTCAGCATTTAGAAGAGCTGCCTGACCAATCAAGCTGCAGCGGAGGCTCAGAAGTCTACTGTAAGTGGAAAACAGTGGGCGGAAAGTTGAATGGTCGGAGCAGAAAGGAACTCGTTACGCAATACCTGGCATGCTTTCAACATGGAAGTGGAATATTGTAGTTTAACTTGGTCTGAAAACTTCACTAGTTTGTTTTTTATGTTGTTTGTTTTTTTATTTATGAGATAATTTAATACAGATAGTTACCTGGAGCTCTGAGCGCATCAGTTTCTGGTTTTATTATTGTAATACCGATTCTGAGGAAGAAAAATCCTATTTCGTTACTTTATTAACAGTGGCGGCGCCAGGGGGCGCTATAGCTAGCTCTGGAAACACCACCAGTTCCAATTAAATTATTGGAAAATAAAAAATAAAAACGTTTTAATAACATCAAAATATACAATTCAATTCAGTTTATTTTTATAGCGCCAATTCACAACACACATCATCTCAAGGCACTTTACAGTTCACCAGATCATCCAGTCAGATTTATTCAAAGTTTTCTATCTAAGGAAAACCAGTTGATCGCATCGACTCATGACTGGAAGGCAATCCCTCACACTAAGCATGCTTGTAGCGACAGTGGAGAGGAAAAACTCCCTTTTAACAGGAAGAAACCTCCAGCAGAACCAGGCTCAGTGTGAGCGGCCATCTGCCGAGGCTGACTGGGGTTCAAGGAGACAGAAGCAGAGATATAAAAAGCGACTATAAAACAGTGCCCCGTCCATGAACAACACAGCCAGGCAGACAAGCTCTGAGCCAGCTCCCATGTCAGAGGATGAAGAGAGAGCACATCCAGCCAGTCCCAGTCAGAGAAACAGGACTACACTGGAAAAACAGGCCAACCTCCAACATCTGTAAACAAAGGTGATGATGGTAGCAGCACAGCTGATATTTCTGTCCAGGGTGGTGTCACAGCCAAACAGGAACGCAATATAGTATCTCCACTATAGATAGAATTGTGAGTTTTAAAGAAAATGTTACTTATTTTGTGTGTGTGTGTGTGTGTTTAAAGTGTGAAAATTAGTGTTGCAACACTGACTATACAGCACTAAAATGATGGTATCGGCGTAGACGAGTACCAACAAATAGGGTACCAATACCATTTTGAGAGCCAGAAGTTTATTCAACTATTACCACCCATCTGGGCCAAAAATCGTTGCAACACTACTGAAATTATCAGGTGGTGTAACTGTCCAGCCCCAACTACTGATTTTTTAAAGGTTATTAAATTACTTCAAATGTATAATTATGTACTCCCAGCCGTTTGTAAACTTTTTTTCATGTGTGATTAACAGTTCCGCAATCTTAAAGTATTTCTAATTCAATCTCTGTCATAATGTTCAGGGGGTTGACTTTCTCAACTTTGAAACTTGAAAAATGAATGTGGGTTAAACAATCATCTGGTACAACCATTGCAGAGACCTTTATATATGTACTAAATTGGTCATATTTATGCTCATATTGAACTGATGATTTCTATAAATTGTGATTTTTATTTAGCTCTTCTTGAATTTTTTATTCATTTTTCCCCCACTACTATTTATCTGCATTTTGTTTAATTCCTACACAACACAAGAAAAAAATATTTAACATTTTTGGGGGAATGTAATTCAACTAATTAATTATAGGTATAAATTATTATTAGTTTACTTATCAATAACCTTACAATAACCTTACATCTACTTCACCAGATTTGACTTATGATATACATGTCACATCTGGTGGCATATATATAGTGAATTACCTGATTGTTGTTTTTTTTCAGATCTGGGGAATCAGAATGCAGTTTGTTGATTGTGTAGGTTTATATAAAACATTGTAGTACTCTATACATATATTTGATCTGCTTTAATTGAATTGCAGAGCACCACACATTCATCATCCGCCTTATTGATGACTTTTTTTAGGTTTTAGAGTAATGAGGGCCTTTCTGTTTTGCAAAGAAAGCAGAAAGGTCCCCTTTGGCACTAGAAGATTAAAAAAATCTCCATATTTTGTCCCAGCCACTCTTTACTGATATTTTAAGTTGCCCCGCTCTACTGTAATACCCTGCTCTGCCAACAGAGGCCCCCCTAAGTCCTACAAAACAAATCTGATGGCAACATCATGAAAGTTCATTGACCCAGAGTGTTTATTAGTTGTATAAAATCTTTATAACTGAAGCTAATTTGAGAAAAATAAAAGTAATCTTTAGTTCAAAGTTTTTTCAGACATTTTTACCATTTATACAAAGGCGTTTAGCATGTTAGTTACTGAAAGCCTGTCAAAGAACCAACATGAAGCCGTACCAGGTTATTTTAGCTGTAAATAACGTTTGTTTTTTGCCAAATTATAAATTTTACACCAGAAGTGAAGTAAAATGCTTGCTAAATTAATACAAAAGCAATGATAATGCTAAAAACATTGCAGCATTTATCTTTAAACGTTTAAATTTACCATTTCAATTCATGTTCCAGCATTAAACTCAAACAGAATTAGTGCCACAAATATCACTAAAAAGATAAAAAAAAAAAAAACTTATAAAGCATTTACTATCAAACAGAAAGACAAAAAGAGGAATGCAAAATTCCACATTCATTATTAAAAGGCTAAGGAGCTCATTGTATTTTTAATATATAGTCAGTACTGTATTTTAACTACTGCTGTGCTTGTGTCGTCTGCCCCAGAGACTCCTGGTGAAAATTAGCTTAGTTGGCTAAAATAGTATTTTTTTTACAGCAATGTGTATTTATATGCAGCTTTTTTGGATATTTTAACAAATAAACAAACTATAAGTTGATATTTTGTTAGCTTGCTTACAGATAACTACTTGTAGATTTCATTCTGTGATGAAAAGCAAGAATTTCCTCCATGCAGGTAAACCTGTTGTTACACTACATTTTATCTGTCAGGAAGCTGGGCAGGCAGTTTGCATTTAGTGGGAGGGGCATCAACAAATTATGTCTTCACTTGTTCAGGTTTGTATTCCTGCCTCTGCGCTCAGAGATCACTTGCTGCTGGGCGACTTGGGTAACATGCGTGAGGGCAATGGGCCATGGGACTTCTTATAATATGAACTGGGCTGGACTTCTGCAGGTCAGTGAATCAAAGGAGATTATCAGTCCTGCTGGGTGATTATTACTGTCTCAATGTCTCGGCACAGAAAGAAGCTTAAATGGTATTTTTAAAAAGACAACATACTAGAATCTGTTGATTTCATGAACAGTTAAGCACATCAGGCATCTCTAAAGAATTAGGATTTGTAGTGTCTGTGTAACTTTGTTGAATTTAATTTTCTTTTAAGTTTTCTTTCTCTTTTTATGTAAGTTGTTTGTGAGAATAATTGAGTAGATGTTGATGAAAGGGATCTTAAGGCCATCATTCTGCATTCTTGCTGTAATTCATTTAACTGTGACATTTGATATCACTGTATCCTGAGGGAAAATCCTCAGGAATTTTTCCGGGTTCAAAGAAAAGACATTGAAAAAAAGGATGTGGACTGTAAAAGAATAAAACCTTTTTTTTTCCTTTACTCAGAATTTGCTGGTCATGCTTCATATCAGACAGATCATTTGTGGCTCCATTCAGTTTTCTGTCAAGGAGGAACTGAAGCCTGGTACTCTGGTTGGATCACTAAGTAAACACTTCCCAGCTCCCTACCATCTCCTGACCAAGGAGTTCCTGCTGGTGGACGAAAACACTGGGGATTTATACATTAAAGAGCTAAAGATGGATCGTGAGCACATCTGCCCTGAGGAGAAAAAAGATGACGACTGCATCATTTTGCACAATGCCATTGTGGGGCCCTCTGTGGACCTTGTACTGTTTTCTGTTATCGTAGAGGACATCAATGACAATGCACCACATTTTGAAAATAGCAAAATACAACTAAATGTTAATGAGGATGTACCTATAGGAACCAGTCTCATGCTGGACGACCAAGCTCGGGACAGAGACAGTGGACCAAACGGACAACTGGTGTACAAACTCAAAGGTTCTGGTGGAGTTTTTTCTTTAAAGGTTGAAGAAGAGGAACAATCCATCATTATGATTGTAGAAAAGGCTTTGGATAGAGAGACTTTGGATGTGTATCACATGCAGCTGGAGGCTACTGACTGTGGAGAACAGCCTCTCAGTGCATCATTATCTATAGTTGTTACGGTGTTAGACGTTAATGACAACTGTCCAAGCTTTAGTCCTGACAGCCCAGACAGCGCCACAATCTCAGGAGACTCCAAGAAGGACACAGTGGTCACTCAGGTAGTGGCTACAGACCCTGATGTGGGCCAAAATGCAGCCATTATTTATTCTTTCAGTCCTAAGGTCTCTGAAAGAGCTATGAAACTTTTTATCATCGACAATCATTCTGGTCACATCAGGCTAATACAAGACCTGGAAAGAGATGACTCTGAAGAGCTGGTGTTAAAAGTGTTAGCCAGCGGTCTTCACTGCCCACCAGCAGAGACTCAGGTAACCGTATCCCTCCTCCCCACGGCGACCCAAGGTCTAACAATCAAGATCGGGTTCATAGCTGAGCATCACAACCAGGCTGTTGTGTTACCAGAGAACCACCCTCCCACTGCCTTAGCCGTTTTAGAGCTTGAGGGTGACAGCAGCTTTACAGACTCATCTCTTGCTATTGAGGGTGACGTGCCTTTCTTTCTGAGCCCACAAAGTGGCAAATATCTGCTTTCCACATCAAAGCCCCTAGACTATGAGATGAAAAGTGAATATCAAATTTCTGTGGTAGTGCAAAGGACTTCATCTGAAAGACTTGTGATCGCTCCACCACGGCAAGAGATCAGGGTGATGGTGGAAGATGTCAATGATAACGCGCCACTTTTCTCCCAGTCTCTCTACCAGCTAGAAGTAGAGGAAAACAATGAGCCGGGGGTAACGCTACTGCAGGTATCTGCGTCTGATGTAGACAGCGGACTCAACGGCAGGGTGACATACAGGCTAGACAAAGGCATCTCAGGCATCTTTGAAGTTGACTCAGTGTCAGGCTTAGTGTCTGCATCGGTTCCCCTGGATAGGGAGTTGAACAACGTTTACAAACTACTTGTGTCTGCTCAAGATAGTGGATCTCCTCCCCTGGAGTCTCAGGCCTCTATAATTATTAATATTCTAGATCAAAATGACAATGCACCTATTTTCTATACCTCCCATTTCATCTTTTTCATCCCTGAGAATGCCCTGCCATTCGCTCAGGTCGGGAACATAGAGGTTAAAGATCCAGATGAAGGAGAGAATGGAAATATAGAATTGAAAATTGTAAAGGAAAACGCACCTTTTGCTGTGGATAGCATCAAAAGGACTCTGCAGACCACCTCCTACTTAGACCGTGAGATGACAGACCACTATGTATTTTACCTAGAGGTCAGCGACAATGGGTATCCAATAGCTTTGACCTCTACTGCCTTGGTGACCGTCTTTATAGAAGACGTTAATGACAATGCGCCTAAAGTGATCCTGCCTGTCAGCAATTTTTCATGCCTTGCTGTCTCACCAGGTACTGCGGCGGGTACCACCATCGCAAAAATATATGCCATTGATGAGGATTTAGGCTCGAATTCAGATATTACATATTCTGTTGTTGCACCAGAGTCAGTTCAGAACAACAGCCCCTTCCAGGTTGACTCAAAATCAGGGAACATCACCTTAAGTCAGGCACTTTTAAAGGAAGATATAGGAATGCATCACCTGTTCATTGTAATAAGAGATAATGGGAAACCAACTCCTCTTTACACCACTGTCTGGTTTAACTTGTTGGTTAATGAGAGCACAGACCAGTGTCATTTAGACAGGGCACCTACATGGACTGGGAGATCTGATTTGCTTTCAAGTGCCTCTAAGTCGCCAATCTGTGTGGACGAACCTGACAGATCTATGAAAACGATATGCTTTTATCTCCTTTCCAGTTTGACGATAGTAACCATGGTTTTGTTTATGACAACAGTTTGTATGTATCTGAAACACAGAAAATGTCCACGGAAAAAAAAAAACGGACAAGCAGAAGAAAATGAGATTCCACTCAGACTCAAAGAAAAATATTACTCTGATGAATAACAGCTCAGAGCAAGCAGTGAGAAAACTCGCTCACAGTTTCAAGGATGAAAACAGTCAGAGAATTAAACAATTTGAGAGCGTTTGTCATGGGCTTTGTGCGGCTCAGAAAAAAAGCCCTACATGCTTCTGCAATTACTCTGTATTCAGAAGAAGAGAAAAATCTAACAGGTTTTTGATAAGGACCCCACAAAATGTGTCCAGAGAAAGAACTGATAAGAGAAGCATTTCTCCTCACAAACTCTAACATCATTGACATAACTAGTCACGGATGATGTACACAGTAAAGCCAGTGAGTGATAGCACACATCACAGCAAGTAAGAGGTAATGTTGCTTTATCAGGCCTAAGAGGCCCCAAGAGAGCATGGAACTTAAGGTAGCTGTGCAACTAGATTTTTTTGGGGCCTGTCTCAGATTGTTGACTTTGACTGATGGGGATCCTACAGTATTTAGACATACAAAAGGGTTTAATGTTCCTTCTGAGGGGAAGTGATGAAAGCGTCTAAAGGAGTAACCCCAGGACAAGCTGCGTGACTTAAGAGCAGCCACGAACAGCCGAGTGACACAAACATCTCAAGTCTCCGCCTTGCAGCCGTTACCTGATAACTCCAGTATTCACCCACATGGCTGGATCGCACCCAAAGGGAAGGAAAAAGAAATAAAAAAACACTGTTCTATGTGTTTCCCACTAGGTTTCTGTTTTAATACCTGAAGCTCAGAGTGAAGTCACAATCTACTTAAAGATGTATTTACAAATAGCAGCTGGCATAGTGTTTAAATAGATTTGGAAATACAAATTAGATCTCAAGCAGGTTAAATTCTGCATTAAATATGAATGAGCTAAGGTACAATGTGTTTACAAATTTGAGAGCAAACAATTGCAACAGAGAGGGAGGGGGAACTGTTTTAACACAGTTCAGGGTAGGCCTATGTGATGAGGAAAGAAAGCAAGGAGATGGAGCCTGTAATACACAATGTACAACAACCTGGTTAGAGGAGAACAAGGCTTGTATAACATGAGCTGTGTCTCTGAGGATGTCTGAGCTCGCTGCTTCAAAAAATAAATAATCTAATAAGGCCTGCACTGTGAGGATAACTACGTTAACTGGGATCAAATAAGGCGCTCCAAAACCAAATTAGGAATTAAATTAAACTGGCCTCTTTACAAAGGAAATTAAAAACTCCATTGGATTACAAGATAAAGTCATTTGTTGTATTTATGATAAAGATATGTACATTCTTCTCACAAATTGTTCTTTGAAGCAATTCGTTTTAGATGATTTATAAAAACCTGTTTACTTCAAAATATATATATATGTATCTTGCTGTACGAAGTTAAAAAGCAATTTAAAAAAGAAATTGTCAGAGGAAAGTCTGCCATCTAGTGGATGCAGATGATGGCAAATCCTGTCCTTTGTGAAATTTGAACAAGAGGGAGAGGATGAATCAGAAGACAGTCTCTCACTTTGTAGAAGTCATATTGCCTGAGAACAGTGATGCGTCCCTGCTGCTCTGCTCTGTTCTCACGGCATCTTGTTTTTCTCAGGTTTCACTTTATCTATTCAAGCCCAATATTTAATTGTAGAATAAGAGCAACAATTGATCCAAATGCCCTGAGGATCTTTTGGTGGCTGCATTTTGGGAGATTTTTTTTTTTTTTTATCATGCCATATATGAGTTGTGTGGATAAAGAAAAAAGAAATTGCACTTATTTTTTTTTTATTGTTGTTTTTCTGTTTTATTGAAGAACCAAGAGGCATTCAGATACTCGTTACTCCTCGCTGCCTCTCAATTGTCTAATCATCTGGCTTTCAGTTATCCTTGATTTTTTTTGTTTGTGAACATTCAAGAGCATAACACACCGTTAAAGATGGCGAAGATGAAACACATATCAGGTTCAATAGCAGAACAATCTGAGGCGGTTTCTTATGTTCTTGCTTCTATCTCATAAACAGGATCTGACTGTTTTACTCAGTCTGAAGAGCGTCAACTGACTACCTGCAGGGAATCTTTCTACCAGAAACAAATTTATTATCATACAAAAGAGGATTAGGGACACTCAAAAAATTAAAAAAGTTAACAAATTTTTGAATTTTATTTCAGTATGAGAAAAAAGTCAGAATTCTGACTTTAATTTCAGAATTCTGACTTTTTTTCTAGGAATTTTGACTTTTTCTCAGAATTCTGACTTTTTTCTCAGAATTCTGAATGTTTTCCCCATATTAAACTGAAATAATATCTAAAAAATAGTTAAATTATTTTATTTTTTCAGTTGCCCTCATCGTCTTCCGTTTGATCATGTTATTTATGTAAATAGGTTTTGAGTTGTTTCCTTAAAATTCAGAAGTCTGTAACAAATTGTATGAATCCTCTTATTCAATAAAAAAAATACTTTTTTAACATTTGACCACTGAAATTACTGAAAAGTTGTGCTATAATATTTTACAAGATCTGCAGTTTGAAAAAAAGTTATTCTTTGTGATTATTTTAATTATGTGGGATGATCTGTGGTACTGTCACATCTTATGTCTTTAAGAAATAGTTTATTTCGAAAACATATCTGTGAATTTTCTAGAACCCCTTCTGGAAAACCTCAAATTCAGTAGCCTAAAGTGAACTTCTTCAAGCTATTTAATAACTTATATATATATTATTTTTTATTTCATTTGTTGAGTTTAGTTGATAGGGACAGATAGACCATTACCCAGGCATACTGAAAAACAACAGCCCCATGATGGCATCCTGGTGGTTATAGTGCCATATTTCCAGTATTCTTTGATAATTTTGAAAGTCAATTTCTAAGGTGTAGGACCAAGGGAATTAGAAGACTAATGTTATTTGTTTAAATGGTGTTCACAGACAGCTGTAACCAAACATATCAATAGAAGTTGAGTGTAAGGAAAACCTTTTTAATAGGACTTCAAAGTTTGGGGGGCATGAACAAGGTGGGGACTGTGGCTGAACTTCTATAGTCATAAATATATCCAGGGTATAGGCTACAACTGATTGCATTCCTGTGTAAAGCTTCTCCTGAACCAGAGACAATGTCAGAATCAGCATGATTGAGGAGAAAAAAGAAACGGAACCCTTTTAAAGGTCCAGAGTCCTTTTTTTCCTCTTTGCATTTCATTTTGAATTCAGTCTTAGATTCAAGGCAAAGAGTAAAAGTGTTCAGGATCCATGACCTAGATCACATAGAAAATCTATGGATCTTTTCAGGAGAAAGAAGAAACAAGATAGTCAACAAAACAGAGAGCTGTTAAAGCTGCTATTATTACAACCAAAGCTACACAGGACTAAAGATGCTGCAAGAACCAAGAAATGTTTGTTTACTCAGGGTGGCAAGAACATTAACCTTCATCAAGATCAGGACATTCATACTTTATAAGAAACATAAATACAGATCTACTGAGATAATTAAAAAGTTTTGCATTAGCCGCATGAAACAGGCTTCACATTTCTGGCAATTGCACAACACTAACGGGACTTGTGTGTGAAAATTTTCTTTTGCATTTTACCTGACTGTATTTTTGTAAAAAGTTGTGTATGTTCTGACCTCATCTAACTTTTTTCTGATGGCATCCTAATTTATTAAGATTGACCTGTTGGTGTACATTCAGATTAGTATTAGATAAAACTGTGTTTTGGAAATTGCCACATGGGAAACATTAGGTTTACATCTTGGCAAATAATGTCCTGAGTTTGATAACTGGTCTGCTGAATAAAACTTTTCCATGGAAACAAAAACCCAAGCCTCCTTCTGGATTTGCATAAGATGCGCGTCGCCCCCCTTCATGCAAATCAGCATCAACAATGACCTTCCTTAACATCTGCAAGTAGAGGAGCCCTGACCTCTTCATTATCCCTCGCCCTGAAGTTCATTGAAAAGCGACATTGTTTCTTTAAAGTTGCACTTGCACTCATCGTGGGCCCTGTCCATTGTTTGGGGGCTGAGGGATTGATATAGAGGGACTGAGGGCGAGAGAGAGACGCGCATTACCAGCACATCTGCGGTGGAGTCAACTCTTCAACTCTTCATATCAGACATGGGTAAGAAACTTCAAACCTTTTCCCTTTTTTCTTCTTTTCTGCAGATTCCGTTTTATTTTAAATCAAATCTCTGTTTGATTACATGTGATCGCGCGATGATGTGAGAGGGCCTGTGAGGGAGCGTCAGAAGTTATTAAGGTCTTTTCTGCCAGTTTAGAGGGCAGCTATCAATGCCTGACGCGCCGCTCATATTATGAGATTTATTTCATGCTTCAGATGGCAGGGCTGCTTTAAGAGGAGTCTTGTCGCATTTACTTTCGATTGCAATCTTTCTCCATTTTAGAGTGGGGAGCTATAGCCACAGCTTTACATTTTCACACACCTATTTTTTTTCTCAATGTTTTCATTTAAAGCCACTGGGGCACAGCCGCTGCTCGTTAATTGGTTAATTGGAATCAAGGTGCGACTAAACTGAAAAAACAAAAAATGCAAGTTTTTGGCATTTACTTCATCCTATTTAGTTACTTTAACACAATTGTTTTATGTCCTACATTGCTAACATGAAACTATTGTGTTAAAGGAACTAAATAGAATTAAGTTGTATTTTTTTTTTCAGTGTATAAGCAGCGTTGAGATGTGAGGTTTGTGTTTTAGCAAGAGAGTTTGTCTTTTTACTTTTTAAGCCTGGTGGATGTAAAGTCAGCCTGATATCCTACCTGGTTGGGAGAGGTCAGTTTGCAGGCCTGTGTCTCTGTTTCACAGTCAACTAAGCTGGTGTAAATATATTCAATTAGAGAGCTATCGCTTTGCCCCTCCTGCCATCTGTGTTTACTGTAATGGTACCAACCACAGTCTGTCTGCTCCCATTGTGCCCATCTGTGTGCAAAGTCACCCATGTACACAAGTTGCATTGTTTATTCAGATTTCCATCCTCCTTCAGCCTTGGCAACACCCCAGTTTCTATAATTTTTCCCCCCCCAACCTTTCTGTGTCTCCTCAGAAGGAAGTCTGTGTGTGTGCATATGTGTGTCTAAAGCAAAGAGGTGCCTCTGGCCTTTGTTTGCTTGACATTGGTGGCCCTTGTGCCCCCACAATGCTTTGAGACAAATACTGTTGTCTCTGCAGTCACAAAAGCAGCCTCTCTCCATCTCTGCCTTGCTGTGTTTCCAGTCCCTTGTCCTTCTGCTTTTCTCACACTCTTCATTGCAGGGTAGTGAATGGAGTCAGGGTGTGAGAGGTGGGGTCCAGGCAGTTGCATTTCCCTTGTATCGTTGGCCCTTTTTATTTAAACTGCACATCACAGTTGTTGGGATGATACATTTTCAAAGACAAACTATTCTGCAACATGATCTAGTCAAAGTTTCTGGTCAACATTTTTGAAATATTACTTGAAATATTAATGATATTTTTGAATTAATGTCATTGACCCATTTAAAACTGAAAGAAATTATTTTTTTTTTGCAATATTTTAAAATCTCCACTGTCTTTAAGCCCATATTGCTTTATATATGGTTGTTTAATCTGAATGAAGCCATTTAGTTTAGCTCAGTCAGGAAGATTCAAAGCAGAAGGCCACCTTTTACATTGTTGGCAGCCACGTAGCTTGTATTACACATAACATTAATATCTTGCTCTCTGTTTCTTTTTTATATACAGAGTGTAAAAAATGTTGCCAGGCAAACTAATTTCAAACTTGTGGAGGTCAAATGCACCCATCTCTCACATCTACACATTACCATTTTCTCCATCTACTTCCATTTCATGGCTATAAAAACAAATAATTTCATACTTGTATACCTTAACCTTCTGTTCATTTCTATATAAATAAACTGGCATTAATATACACAAATCTCCCACATAATTACATTTTGCAGTATTATCTTAAAGGCTTTGCTTTCATAAAATGGCTCCCCCATATATTTTATTTGTGATCCTGTTTGGCCTAAATAATAAGTAACCTCCTTCGGGCAGATCATCATTCTTGGATATAATTTTATATCTTTTGATGACAAAAGTGCTTTCAGTGCTTATAATTGTCAGCCTGTGTTTGGCTTTGAGTTTTCTTTATATCAGAAAGGTATCATCTTAAAAACTACTTTGATAGAAATACTATAATAGTCATTAGATGCATACAGATCTTTCTCGTAATGAATACGAACTTTCTGGGCAGACTTAACTTTCATCAGAGTTTTTTGTGCCACACAATGTTGTTACACTGCCAATTATTACAGTTATAGCATCAATATTATATTTATTTATTACTATTTGAAATTTTAATACACAAACCTAAGTAAAACTGTATTATGAACACACACTAAATTTGAGAGTTCTTAAGTACAGAGTGGATGATAGTTGGGCTATCTGCTGAGGTAGCCAGTCTTGAGTTATGGTTCATATATATATATACCTTCTCTGGTTCACAGATATTTCATTTTTGAGATTATTTTTCCTTCTTCCTGCCCAGTTAATTTGTTAAGTTGATTCTTTTCAAAGGGGAAAAAAAAAACGTAATGAAAAAGCTGTAAATGTATACTGATTTCTAGGTTTTTCTTCCTTCCTACCAGGTTGCTATGACTGCTGTATGCGCTGTTTGGGCGGGGTGCCATATTGCTCCCTCATCGCCATGCTGCTCTGCTTCTCTGGCATTGCCCTGTTCTGCGGTTGCGGTCACCAGGCACTTACAGAAACAGAGAGACTCATCGAGACGTATTTCGCCCGAAACCTTCAAGAGTACATCACTCTTGCCTACGTGTAAGCTGTTTTTTTTAATGGGGTTTACTCTCTTGTTCTTGTGGTATAGATTTTGCAAAGTCCTTCCTTTTTATCTGTTCTTTTTTCTCTTTTAGCATTCAGTATTTCCAGTATGTCATCTATGGTTTGGCCTCCTTTTTCTTCCTCTACTGTATCGCGCTACTGGCTGAGGGCTTCTACACCACAAATGTTGCCAAGCAAACCTTCGGAGAGTTCAGGAGCACAATGTGTGGCCGCTGCCTCAGCTCCTCGGTGAGCAGGTCCAGAGTGGTACAAGTTAAAGGGAACTGGGAGATTGGCTTCCTGTGGATGTTGAGAATCTTTTAGGCTCACAGGAATCTTTGTGCATTTTTGTGCTGCCTCTTAATGTGTGACGTCTCTCTGCAGTTTATAGTGATGACGTACGTTCTTGCTGTGCTGTGGCTTTTGGTGTTTGCCTTCTCGGCCTTGCCGGTCTACTTCTTCTACAACATGGAAGCAACTTGCCGCGTTGTAGACATTCTGACTGAGACGCCAGCAAGTATCAACCAGCTCTGTGTTGATGCAAGGCAATACGGTAACATTTATATTTTGGCAACTTTACACAATGTAAATGTATAGATTTAATCAGGTTCGTTCTTATCGTTTAGGTGAAAATACCAGTGAATCTGCTCTGTGCAGACAGCACTTGATATGAATTGGTTGGCCATTATCCTAAAGCGTGATCATTCGAATACTGAAATCCCATTCGTGAGCATAATCTACACAAGGAAATTAATCAATTTGCAGTTCTCTTAACCCAAATCCTATAAAGATTTTCTATTTGTTGTCTGCAGCAGCTTGGGTAGAAATAAAAACAACAACAAACTAGAAAAGCACTTGCAGAGCAGAGACCTCCGCCAAGAAGCAAACTGATTGTACTGCTTGTTTTTATCTTGTATTTAAAATGGTTGTTAGCTTATTAACTTAGCTTTCCTGCTGGTCGCTATAGTTCTTTAACTTGAAACTGTTACATTTGTTATGATCTCATTCCTAGATGAATGACGTTAAACATAAACGGAAATAAACACAACCAAAGAGCAGCACTTCTTGTGTGTTCCCTGTTAAAAGATTTAAACTTAACGGAAAGCTCTTGAAATTCTGTCCTCTATACTTCTGTTTGACATACATTTTGGATCTGCTTACATTGCAAATAACTGAAATCATAAGAGCTTTTGACTCGTTCAAGACATGAATGCAGAATTATGTGTGCAAACATTAGAAACAGCATTTCCAAGGAATCTAATTTAGCAACTCGGATGGTAAAACAACAACTTTCCAACATCCTTCATGCTCTAGGGATCGTAAATGACTCCCCAAAGTGCCAAAAGAATTGTAAGCCAACAATTTCAGCTGGAAATACATTCACAACACATTGCTCCACTGAGCGATTTGTAACCTTATTACAATAAGATCAGTACAGATTTTAATGTTGGTTTTTTTCCCTTTTATAGCCTGTCCTGTTTGGATCATTTTAAATAAATAATTGAACTTTATTGATCTCACACTGGAGAAATTTACCTCTGCATTTAACCCATTCCCTTAGGGAGCAGTGTGGGGTTAAGGGTCTTGCTCAGGGACCGAGAGTGCAGGTTGTGGGGATCAAACCGGGTACTTGCAACCTTGTCAGAGCACAGGCCCACTGTGCATAAATATAAAATGAAAAAAAGTGATTGATTGTTGACAGCGAGGAAATACAGTAATATATTTATATTTCTGTTTGTATCTATGTAATTCAATTAGAAGTAAATTGAGTTTGTTTTTTCCCCTCTCAGGACTCTTGCCATGGAATGCAATACCAGGAAAAGCTTGTGGTATGACCCTGTCCAATATTTGCAAAACCAGAGAGGTAAGAACTCAAACTTTAGTGTCTGTTTCATTTCATCACTGGTCTGACAGGAAATGGGGGAAAAAAATAATAATCATTCTGATTTCCTCCTGTTAGTATCAGACGACCTATAACCTGTACATTGCTGCCTTCGCCGGGGCTGGCGTCACTCTCTTGGCTCTGGTAAGTGTCGAAGCCGAGGGCCAGGTCAGGGTACAAAAACCACGTCATGGCTCATGTGACTAACGCTCAAAGTGTAGGCAGAGAGGCATCTCGGGCCTCCATGACTGATGACTCTTGTACTGTTGCTCTCTGTTCCTCTTTGTCAGCTGACACAGACAGCATAATAGAGCTGTAATGTCTGGCGGTGTTCTAGCCAAGCATGCAGCCATTATACTTGCATGCTCCATTACAGGAGCTGTTATATTAATCTAAAACTATTAGCACCATCATGTCTTGTTGTTATGTTTGTAGATATCCTGGGTCTCCTCATCTTTCTTCTCCTTGTCTCTCTATAGCTGACCTATACTGTGTCAAGCACCTATAACTTTGCCGTTCTGCGGTATCTTGGGAGAAAGGGCATAGGTGGAAGGTGTTAGGCACCCGGCTTCCTGTCCACTCAGTCACCACTCTGACATCTACAAGGGGATCTGAAGGGAACGGCGACACCTTTATCCTTTCACTTCACCTGCACAGAACTACCTATGGTCATGGACTTTAGAAGATACTATTTTATCCTACTTTTTATAAGAATTTGTATGTTTTCTCTCTGTTTCAATTGACGCTGTGATTTAAAGCAGGCCTTATATTCTTTGTTGCATCACTCCGATGTTTATCTCTGCCATCAGTTGCAGACAAATCATAACAGAGTACTAATTTACTAAAACATAGGCTAAAAAAATCCTATAGCAGCATACAGCTGCTGAGCAGAACAAGGGATTAAAGGTTAGTATGGCCACCACGCCTCACATCTGGTTGCTATTGGAGTAGACAAACAGTCTAGCGGTCTCACTCTGACCTCGGGACTTTTCTCACGGGCGGGAGAAAAAAAAGCAACAATGGAGTCATGCCAGTTAGAAAATCGAGCCAATAAGGAGCCTCTGCTAGGGGCCACCTGCACTGCGAGTCTCTGCAAGAGGGGTTGTATTACGTCTCAAAGGAGAGGGCTCTCTGGACAAAGACAGGGTTAAATTTCTGTGACCATCCTGTAGCCTTGCTTCAAACGGAGGCAATAAATGGCTTCAGAGATTAATTTCAGAATTGTTAGATCTGGTAAGGTCTGTAAATGTTTCTCAATGTGGGATGGCTAAAGCACTAGGTGCTTAATTATAAAGTAACTTCCTGATATCACAACAAAATGTTTCCTGCTTATTATGACTGAGTTTTGTTTTTAATGATAAAAGAATTGCTTTGTTTTAATCGTTAGCAATTTTGTTGTAGTTATTGTATAACACAACTTAACTAATTGTAGCTGAATTTACTAAAACATTTCTAGTGACGTCAGAAGTTTACATACACATCTGCCGTATAAATTTTAGCCTTTTGATGATGCATTTGAACTTTTTTTCAGGATGTTATTATACAGAAAATTACATTAATACATTAAATAATTGTTTAGTTAGTGTCCTAGAATGAGCTTTAAGTTTTTTTCAGTGACTTCTCAACAGGGTTGAGGTCAGAGCCATTCCAGAAGCTATGGGTTAACCTGCTTTATCCGTTCCAAAACCAGTTGTGCTGTATGTTTGGGGTCATGTTCTGGGTGAAACATCACATTCTGATAGACTTTCACGCATCTGAACCAGACGGTCAGATTAAAGTTAATTAAGCCAGGATCCACCTTGGCTAATCGACAGTAAGATCTGCATTTGAAATCATTGCAGGGTTCTCTGGAAAAAAATCAACATCTAGATAGGTCATTTTTTCTTAAAATAAGTGCATTTGTTCTTGGATTGAGGAGGTAAAAGAGATCTTGCCAATGGAACAAGACAATTTACACTTAAAATAAGAAAACACAACTGCATTGTCTTATTCCAAGTGCATATTATCTTATTTTAAGAATAAAAACACTCATTCCATTGGCACACTATCTCATTTACTTACTCAAATTAAGGGTAAATACACTTAAGACATTTTTACTTATTTCTAGATCGTTTTTCCAGTGGGGCTGCTACGCTCAAATTTGTCCAAGCTACACTCAAATTCACACCAATGCGCTTATGAAAAATAAGCATACCGACCCTTTGTGTGACATCTTGGGCCCCCCTTCCAGGGCTCTGTCCTGCACATTTCAGAACAAACTGGTTATGCTGAAAGTTTTTTAAATTACTGACTCTTAAAGAGCGTAATGGCTGTTGAATCTGTGTTTTTGACTCCTAAAGGCCGCAACATACTCACGCTTTAGGTTGTTGTGCTGGTCTGTATGTGAGCCCATAGAAGTGCTGTACACATTCATAGTTGACGCAGATGTAGGTGCAGTACTCGCAAAAACCACAGGGACAATGATCAACATAACAATCGGAAATGGAGAAAAAGAGAAGAAACAGTTCGCACTTCGAAAAATCAAAGCAAAAAAAAAAAAAGGAATGGTCCAGAGTTCAACTTTGTGAGAAATTTAAGGACAGAAGCTAGACTAAGAACTAGGTCTTTCAGAGGAAATAAGCTTTACCGTTCTGTTGAGAGAAAAGGGAAAAGAAAAAAAAAAAAGGCGGTCAAATGTCCAAGAAAAATGATGCTAGAATCTGGTTGATGGCTGCAAAAATGTGATGGGCTTTTTTTGTACTATCTTGATATTATTGGACTGTCTGTATTATTTGGGCATCAGTGGATTAAACAAAATTAATATTAAATTCAACCTTAGCAGCCATTTCCTTTTTAAATTCTCCAACATTTCCATTGCATCGTTAGTCCAAGCTAATAAAGATGGATTTAATGGGAGCATTAAGCAAATCTGAATATACAGAACTTCTCTTCTGATCAACACTGGGAGAAAATCTTTTTGCAAAGGATTTATACAGATTAAACCGTCCTTAGCTGTGAGTTTTTTTTTATTTCTTAGAGCTTGTTTGTAATTTTTTTTTTCCTTTGCTTTTGTGTGTTTTGGTAAAGAACTTTAAAAAAATAAATAAATGGAACAGTTGAAATAATGTCATCATGCTGCCTTAAAAAAAAAAAAAAACATGAATCTGAAGTCAGTCCCTGTTTTGTTTACTCGCTCCTCCCTGGCTCCTGGCCAGAAGCCTGGGTCCGGGTGTTTTGTACATCGTTTTGTACTGCGTCTCGTTGTGTCCACAGGTGCACTGTTGCCTTCACCTGGCTGTGTACCAAATGTATGTGAAGATGCTAAAGCACAGGGCGAAAGAGGAGAGGAGAGGCTACGACCTTTACAGGAGGATGCAGAGGGACAGAGGAGGGACCCTGTCCTCTCCATACTCTGCAGACACATTTGACATCTCCTGACAGCACTAAAATTCTGCTGTCATTAACTGTTGGATAAGCCTATGGTGTATATGTATATCATTTCTGTTTTATAGCGGTTGCTTGCCATTTATAGATTTTTTCCACAGGCTCCTAAGTTGCGAATTGCTTAAATACTGTTAGATTTCTCTTTAATCTAGGAGTAATGATTTTGTTTTCTTGTTGATTGTCTGAAATCTATAATGAGAAAACTGGTTTGGATGTCAAAGCCCAGATCAGATTTCAGTGTTTGTTAGACAACCTTGGTTAAAAATGAAAATAAAGAAATGCAATGTCTGTTTTCTCTCTATTTTAATTGTAGTTTAGACATGTTTTTGCTTTTTGGGACACGGGGGTGGTCCCAGAAAAAAAAAACTATGCAGCACACAATAAGAGTAAGGGTATTAAGATAAACACAGGAAGACGAGACTGATTAGTGGTGATAGATATCAAGTGATTAAAATGTATGCAGTTTGGTTTCAGAAGACTAAATGACCAATTTATGGTATATAAAAAAAAGATGCAAACAGAATCAATATTTGGTATTATGTTTTATTTGAAGCCAAGCACTGGAGAGCATCCTCCACAGTGTTGCCCTTTGTAGTGCAAAGTACAAGAAGAGAAGCTGTCTAATAGATCAGCACAGAATTAAAATGAACAGATCTTTCTAGTTGCACTCGTCTACGCAATCTTTTTCTTCTTTTACACTGAAAGCAAATGTAGTTATAATCTTGAAACTAAAAGAAACAGAAAAATCATTTTAACAAGCAAAAAGTTGACCAAAAAAATGGGGTGGGGGGTAATTTAGAAGGGTAATGCTACTGGCTTATAGAGGCAAATTTTTCTCAGACAAGTATGATTAAAAAAAATTAAACCATTATGCAAAATCAGAAAACTGAGGCAGCAGTTGAAAATCATATTTCATATCACAAATAAAATATTAGCCCTCATAAGAGTTTATGTTTTCAAATCACCCTTTTAGCTCACAGGTTGATTTATTCAACATAACTCAATTTGTACCCAAACATTAACATACAGCAGAATTCAAATAAACCATTAATTGCGGTTCTTCCAGTTTATCCGAGTCCTAAAACCTTATGACCTTACAATAAACTGGCGATTTCTGTGAAGTTACTGGTTTCCAGTGAGGGTATGGAACATCTTTAACTGTTCTAATGGATGATATCCTTTCATATTTGAACATCTTTGCAGAAAACGGCACAAAGGTTAAATGACCCAACAACGTAAACAAAAAAAACAGGTTGCAGCTAGAATAATGTAATAGTACCTCGTTCTATTCACTTTCACAGTGGAATCCTTTAAAACATTTGCTAAAAAAATAAAAACTAATCTCAGGAGGTAAATGTATCAGGCTATAAAGCCCAAAAGAAATGTGATGTAAGAAAAGATGGGGAGATAAAAGCATAGGTTAAAAAAGTTAACATATTGTTTGAAAAATGCTTTGAAAATACTATAAATGAAAATCACAGTTAAAATTAGTAAGCATTTTAACACCAAACATAAAAAAACAATCTTAAAATTATGGATCGCTTCAGGGATGCAAATACAATGATGGAGGTGCCATTATTTCTAAATACTTTGTATTCTGTTGTAATACTTTAAGAACCAAGAGGTGATTTAGAATCCGGACACTGGAAGAAACCACCTCACTCCTGCAATTTCACATTCAACCGAGAACTTTAATACCAACGGTATGAAGTGGACGCCCTTTATCAGCGAGGCACAGGAGACCCTCTGGCCAGGCACAGATGAAAGCCTGGAATGTTAGCGCCAACACAGGATTACAAGGAGGTTGTTTATAATTAGAGCTCTCCCACTTAGTAAGGAAAAAGGTCTTTAACTTTCCCTCATCAAACCTTTCAAGCTCAACGTAATTGATAGAAATGAGAAAAAAAGTCTTAAAAAACAAATACCAGAGGCAGAACTACTGAGGTTTTTTTAGTTTAAACATTTGTTGTGTAGTACGCGGTTTCATGAATCACATTACTAGACATACAGTACAAATATAATTCCCTGTTACAGCCTGCAGAAGAAAACAATAGATAACCACGTAACTAAAGGGCACAGCCATAAACCTGACCATCAACATTCCCTTTCTGTCGAGTACGAACATATCTCTTCCTTCTAGAGCCCTCGTATTTTCCCTTTATCGTACCACAAATGATCCACTGATGTTCAGTGTTTGCTGGAACCTCAGTAATCAAATGTTCTAAATGCAGAAAACACTTTAGCTTATAAAGAAACTGTATACTACCATACAGGTGCTGGTCATAAAATTAGAATATCATGAAAAAGTAGATTGATTTCAGTAATTCCATTTAAAAAGTGAAACTTGTATATTATATTCATACATTACATACAAACTCATATATTTCAGATGTTTATTTTGTTTAATTTTGATGATTACAAATGACAACAAATGAAAATCTCAAATTCATCATATCAGAAAATTAGAATATTGTGAAAAGGTTCAAAATTGATGGCCCCTGGTGCCACACTCTAATCAGCTAATTAACTCAAACCACCTGCAAAAGCCTTTAAATGGTCTTTCAGTCTAGTTCTATAGGCTACACAATCATGGGGAAGACTGCTGACTTGACAGTTGTCCAAAAGACGACCATCGACACCTTGCACAAGGAGGGCAAGACACAAAAGGTCATCGCTAAAGAGGCTGGCTGTTCACAGAGCTCAGTGTCCAAGCACATTAATAGAGAGGCGAAGGGAAGGAAAAGATGTGGTCGAAAAAAGTGTACAAGCAAGAGAGATAACCGCACCCTGGAGAGGATTGTGAAACAAAACCCATTCAAAAATGTTGGGGAGATTCACAAAGAGTGGACTGCAGCTGGAGTGAGTGCTTCAAGAACCACCACACACAGACGTATGAAAGACATGGGTTTCTGCTGTCGCATTCCTTGTGTCAAGCCACTCTTGAACCACAGACAGCGTCAGAAGCGTCTTGCCTGGGCTAAAGAGAAACAGGACTGGACTGCTGGTGAGTGGTCCAAAGTCATGTTCTCTGATGAAAGTAAATTTTGCATTTCCTTTGGAAATCAAGGTCCCAGAGTCTGGAGGAAAAGAAGAGAGGCACTTCATCCACGTTGCTTGAAGTCCAGTGTAAAGTTTCCACAGTCAGTGATGGTTTGGGGTGCCATGTCATCTGCTGGTGTTGGTCCATTGTGTTTTCTGAGGTCCAGGGTCAACGCAGCCACATACCAGGAAGTTTTAGAGCACTTCATGCTTCCTGCAGCTGACCAACTTTTTGGAGATGCAGATTTCATTTTCCAACAGGACTTGGCACCTGCACACAGTGCCAAAGCTACCAGTACCTGGTTGAAGGACCATGGTATCCCTGTTCTTAATTGGCCAGCAAACTCTCCTGACCTTAACCCCATAGAAAATCTATGGGGTATTGTGAAGAAGAAGATGCAATACACCAGACCCAACAATTCAGAAGAGCTAAAAGCCACTATTAGAGCAACCTGGGCTATCATAACACCTGAGCAGTGCCACAGACTGATCGACTCCATGCCACGCCGCATTGCTGCAGTAATACAGGCCAAAGGAGGCCCAACTAAATACTGAGTGCTGTACATGCTCATACTTTTCATGTTCATACTTTTCAGTTGGCCAACATTTCTATAAATCCTTTGTTTTTATTGGTCTTCAGTAATATTCTAATTTTCTGATATGATGAATTTGAGATTTTCATTTGTTGTCATTTGTAATCATCAAAATTAAACAAAATAAACATCTGAAATATATGAGTTTGTATGTAATGTATGAATATAATATACAAGTTTCACTTTTTAAATGGAATTACTGAAATCAATCTACTTTTTCATGATATTCTAATTTTATGACCAGCACCTGTAGATGATACTTTTAACCCTGTAATGCCAAATGTATCATATTTGATACATACTGTTTCTGAAATGTTTTGCGTCTGACACCTTTTGCATAATTTAATGGTAAAAATTTTGCTCAAAATCCTATTGTACACAATTAGATAACAGAGGGCATAAGACTACACAAAAAATTATTTTGACTTATCGCATAGTAATAAATTATTAATGTCAAACATGTATTTTTGTTTTTTCTTTTTACATATTTTGTTAAAAGGCCAAATAAGAACTTCAAACCGAAAAAAAGTAATTTTCTGTTTTGTTTTATTCTTGGATCGGGCTTTAAAGGGTTAAAACTATCAGGCATGGGCTGGTTTCAGGTTGGTTTCAGACTGAGCATGACAACCTAAAATACTCTATTTACTGTATTTACTCAAACATTAAAAACAGAAATGTGTTACGTGATGACATTTCTTTTATTTCAGCGGCTCCCCACCCAGAGTTTTAGCTCTTTCAGCTGCGGTTTAGAAAATTAGGTAGCGTTTGTTTTTCTGAAAGTATGACTTAAAAAGAAAAAAACAGTCTTAGCTAGCTAGCCATGCACAGCAACGTGTGTGTGTGTGTTTTTTTTCTTAAATCTCCATATCTTCATTAGATCTACATCTAATCTGAAAGTAAAGCAACTTCAAAGTTTGAGATTTTCAGGCTATGCTGGCTGTTTGAGGCCGGTTCACAGAGCAAGATAATGGGTGCAGAAATCAGCACCATCTTCCCCTTCTGAGAACCCTTTTAGACCAAAAATATTCAATTTTATACTCTAGTACTTGCCCTTTTTACCACCTAAAAACACTTTATATCCACTTCCAGTCGCTACAAACTGCAGCGGGAAATCCACCAGTGATTGACCGCTTTAGAGAGCGATCACTGTAGCCAATACAACAGCTCTGTAGTTTATAGTGCTGGTCTGTATGTGAGCCCATATAGTGCACTACAGAAAATTTTAAAGCAGGATAAATATCCTTTCTCACTTAAAAAAACATTTTTAAGGTATAATGTAGCCGCTGCCGAAAGGGAACACCTATTAAATGCGTGCGAGAACATGCACGAACCCATTTATCCTCGCTCTGTTTAAAGTTGCTGTTTGCATCGTTCATACAAGCTTACTTTCCTAAAGAAGATTTGCAATTTTTCCACTATGTCAGACTCACAACCGGTAAACGAAAATGGGGACGAGCACGGAGGAAAGCCTTACATAAACATATCACCAGAATGATTGACAATTAGGAGGACCACTTATTTAGATGATCCACCCGGAAAAAGAACATCCTCCACTATACCTTTAACTAATTTCTCCCCCCAAATCATCATAGCAAATAAAGCTAGGCGACACTCTTTGCATCCATATATATTTTTTTTTTATTTCAAACACAGACACTGTCTGTGGTCTCTTCGCTCGATATGAGTTGAGGATTTCTAAATCAGATTGGGTATGACGTGCTGCGCTTGTTGTGTGGCTGGACAAACACACCAAACAACCAAAACTTCCTAATTTTTTGGGCTGTTGCGGTCTCTTAAGTTCTGAAAATCATTCGACAGTTTTAAAATCTTGCCATGTGAACCAGCCTTTAAGCAATTTGGATTTCCCTGATTTTATACAGCTTATCGACAATTTCCTAGTTTGAACTTTAGTTGTATGGAAGCACATTGCATGCACAGGTAAATAAAAGAAACTGGTGTGTTTTTTCTTAATTAATTAGGTATACAGTGAAGAAAAGGGGAAGGAGGGAAATCGTACCATAAGTTGACAAATATGGATTGCATTTGAATTTTAAAGTGTCTCAATCCCAAAAGAAAGTGAAAATGAATTAAACTGAACAAACAGGACATGTTGAAACTTCTCTGAAGGAAGGTGTCTTGCTTAGAAACCTGCAATGCCAACAGTAAAAGAACATCCAGTAGGAAATCAGAGCAGCATTTTCTCATAAAGTTTTTGTTTATGTTTGTAAAAATTATCTTGTTAATTCAGAAAAAAACAGACCAATTTATTAGATGAGATCAAGCCGCCTCCACAGTAATGCAACATTACTAAAATAAAGGTAAACTGGAAATTTGCATCAACAAAAATATTCTGTAAGAATAAGAAAAATATTTTCCCATTATTTCAGTCAGCTGGCCTAAAGTGCTTAGCAACTGGTAGGGGAGGGGCAGCTCATTAACGTATGCAGCATATAGCCAGAAAAAAAAAACTCCTGCACCTTTTTGCATTGAATACTAAAATCTCTCATTATCATGGAACATTTCTGAGTAATCTAAAACCTTCATTACCTTGAAACCAAAAACCAACCCATGCCTAATCATTTCAAGCTCCAGAATTAGGGCAACTGGAATCAGGGCAACTGGTCACTTCTGTGTGTTTGTGAGAGAACTGGCACACTTTGTCTGACAATAAATTAGATAAAAACGAAATGCTTCATTCCATTATTTGATACCACCCTCGCATATAAGCAGGAAGAAAAAGCAGTATTTTGTGAGAAAAGAAGAAGCACGCCTGCCACAGAGTGCTGTACCTTCATTGGAGCAACAACTCACTCACAAGCAGGAGCTGAATTCCCTGACACCAGCAGCAGCTGTATCTCCTGCAACGTATCCTTACTCGATACAGTAGGTTAAATCTACAGAACACCTGTTGTCACAACTAACAGGCAAGTTTAAGCCAGGCAATATAGTACCGATGGGCTTTCAGCAGCATGACCCGCGGGACGCTTTACGGTTGCCGTGAAGGTCGATAGTGCTGCCCAGCAGTGCATGACCAATCTGGTCCTCGGCAGCTAGGACCACCCTGACGGCTGCCTCGAACGCAGCTGTGACGTTAGTGTCATCTTTAGCGCTGGTTTCAAAGTAAGGGCAGCAGCCGTTCTCCTCGCACCAGGCCCGTGCTTCGTCCTCCCCAACTTCCCGCTGCTCCATATCAACTTTATTGCCCAGCACCACAAAAGGGAAGCGCTCTGGGTCTTTAACGTCGGAGTAGAACATAAACTCCTTCTTCCAGCAACTGAGATTCAGGAAGCTCTGCAAGTCGTTGACAGCGAAGGTGAGCAAGCAGCAGTCTGCGCCTCGGTAGAACGGCGTGCGTAGCGATTTAAAGCGCTCCTGACCCGCCGTGTCCCAGATCTGAAGGGTGACCAGCCGCCCGTCCACCTCCAAGTCTCTGTTAAGGAACTCCACGCCAATGGTGTGAAAAGACTGCGAGTCAAAGCGGTCTGTGACGTAGCGGTTCATCAAAGAAGACTTGCCAACTCCACCATCGCCCAGCAGGATCACTTTCAGAAGGACGTTATTCCTACTCATGGTGTTTCCTCCCACCCAGTTAGGCCTCTCTGGTGGATTTTAGGCCACAGGTACCGTTGGAAGATCAAGTTCAGCTGAATAAAGTGAGAGAAAGAAAAGCAAAAAAGTCATAAATATCAAGGAATACATACAGAGTTGTCATGGACAATAAAATGTGGAGCAAAAAAAGGCTAAAATTTGTGTGGTATTAAAGATATTAGTGAATGTTTGAATTAACCGAGAGTGAGTAAAACTTGTTTTTAAAAACCTACAGAATATACTTTTCATAAACACATTTCTATGGAGCTAAATTGGAGCCATGAAGTTTGTTAAAAAAAGAAAAAAAAATTTGTAAACCTGAAAAAAACATTTATTTCAAAACAAAAAAATTATATCCGAAAAGGAGTTTGTTCAGAAGAGAAAAAATATATATACCTGGCATGGAAAAGTTCTTCAAAAGAAAAAAAAAAACTTGAACTGGAAAAAAGTTTGTTTAACCTAAAAATAATTCTCAAAAATAATGCTCAAAAAAAATAATTAATTAATTAAACCTGAAAAAACATAAGGTTGTTTCAATAAAGGATTAAACTTGAAAACTAAGTTTGTTCAAAAGAGAGAGAAAAAGTTCCCATGGTCCGTGAAAGCAACAGCTGGGGATAGGTTGTTCAGCTGTTGTGTTGAGCCCCAGTGATGACACCCCTGTCCTCTGAGACCCTGCCCCCCCATGCCAAAACAGGGTAATAAAATCTGCAAGTTTGAAAAAAAAAATGTTTCTTTTCTTTTGAAGAAACTTTTATTTTTTAGGTTAACATATTTTCCAAATATGTCTTATTTTTCAAACAAATGTCTTTTTATGGTGCAATTTATTTGTAAACAAACTTTATGGCCCCAATTGGACTCCATAGTTGCGTTCTCCAGTTTCTCCTAATGACAGTTATCTTACTGAGAAAGCTTCCTGCCTGCACAGATCAGCACCACTCAAAGGACATGGATCAAATTACATTTGAGCACAAATCATGAGAAGACAGGAGAGGCGCTCAGATCCTCTAATTCCTGGAGTGTTTCTGAGTTCTAGCAAAGTATAATCATCTGGGCTGTCATCAGATCCATGTAGTATTCCTGGTACTTCCTCTCTTAGAATGTTTTAAGTAAAATCTTGCTTGATAATAACTCCTAACCTCTGTTATGACTCATAATACATGGTTAATAGAATGTGCAGCCTGCATGGGGGTGTTACAATTACAGCAATTACATTTTGATATAAGACTTTTAAAGATACTGATTATACTTCCATTGAGGCTGCTTTCATGACTGAAATAAAATTATTTCTCTGCATCATTTTTAATTCCTGCTCCACAAATTTGACATTAGTCCAATGCTGAATATCCAAGGGGTTTTCAAAAATTTTATTTTCATTATACATGATCTATTAACTAAATTATACATAAAGTTTGACTTTGTTAACCCAGTTTATTTTGCATGTAATTTTTGAGATTCAGACATACCTTTGTAGTCTTTTACCATCCTAATTTTAGGTCTTGACGCATGCACCGTGGACACAAAAACCAAGGTAACAGAATAAATAACTAAAACAAAAGGATAATACTTCAGTTATGGAAAACTACAAATTCAAAAAGATTTCTTCAGAGAACAATGCATGTTTAGGAGGTTATAGTCAAGGCCAGATTTCTGCAACCATTTCAATGTCTTATTTCCTGCACACATGTGGAAGAGTTTGGTATAATTTAGAGTTGTCAAAAGTATCGATACCAAAATGCCGTATCCGGATACAATACTGTCTTTCTAAAGTATCGATACCACCATTCGCTGCAGCTAGCAATTCAAGGCTAATGTCACGTTAATGATCATAATGGAAATAAATAAATCAGGCATGTAGTGTGCCCATATTACGTTAATTGACAGTGTCAGTATACATAAGCATAGAGTTGATATGTTTACATAAATGTTGGTGACTGAAAAGTGTTATTTTCTCTCTTGAAGTCACAGAATGAAGCAGATAGAAGTAGACCTGTGTCCAAACACCATCAAACACAGCCGACGCTACCATCCATGTTTGACCAACAACGGAAATATGATGCCAAGTTCCCAGAAGCTATGAAAGTAAACAGAATATACAACTATGAAAAAAAGGGCAAATTCAGGCCAGTGCTAACACCATTGGCACCTAAACAGTCATTCATCTAGATTGCAGAAGAGAGGGAAATTAACTTTCTGAACACTGTGTGATTGAATAATTCTGTTCACTTTTCAGTTTCAGATTTTTTTTGGAACAGAAGCAGCTGCTGGGAATACAGCATTTATTTTTGTTGTGTAAACCATAGCAAAAGAAGGAACACTTAGGTTAATTTTGTTGTTTTTTTTAATCAAGCCCCCCCACCCCCTTGAACATCGGTTGTGCTTTCTGCTCATGGGACTTCAGCATACAGTGCACCTCGCCACGGTGTCATCATTCCTCACCATGGGCGGTTCTAGACAGGGGCCAAAGGGGGCCAGAAATTCCAATGATGATATGCGCTGCAACAGACATGGTTACTGATAGGTCCTTCGGAACTACTTCATTCTTTTTCTTTAAAAATTCTGTTTTATTAATTATTCAAAAACAATAAGGTGATAGCTTCAGTGGTACTGAGATAGGATCCCAGTTTTCATCTGCTAAATGTTTTTTTTTTCCACAAAAAATAAAATCCTTAAATTCTTAATAATCCTTAATAAATCCTTAAATTTTTACAGATGATTTAACAGTTTTTCTTGAGTTATAATTCAAATCTGATAGAAAACAGTAGTTTTAACTTAAATCAAGTCAAAAATATGTACAATTCCTAAATTATAAATGTATATTGACCTAATAAGAAATAGAATTTCTATTGAAGCTATTTGAAAAGAAATTTCACTTCATGCAGCTCTCTTAATATATTTGAATCCCTTGCCCTGTTTTTTATTTCATGCTTTTCTGTGCCCCCATGAAAACATGCTGCCCCCCTCCTGGCCCCCTGGTAAATTTGGTCTAGTTCCGCCACTGTTCCTCACCTTCACTGTACATGGATATACTTTAGTATATTCTGCTGTAAAATTAGTCCTATATTTTCATTTTTTACTCGAGGATTCAATCTCTGCCATTTCACAAGATGCACAGCTTTGAGTGGTAACTAGGTGACTATGCAACTTATCGGACTGATCCAATCAGCTCTCTGACAGCCAGTCGCCTCAAACGCTCGTTGAACAGAGCATCGCTTTGGACAGATACGCTGCACAGGGTTCAAAAGTAACATACTCCCGACACCCAGTACTCTCTTGTTGTCTGTGCAATCAAAGTAGTTCTTATCCTCACATGATGAATGAATTATTGCCTGCAAGCTCTCACTCGCATTAAAAAACACCACCGGTAAAATCCGGGATAATTTATCATCCATGAACAACTATCTATATCAGCGAGACTCCCGTAACTTCCGGGAGACTTGGGATGTCTGTTTTTTTGATCCTCGTGGTATCGAAAATGGTATCGCGTATCAAATATTTTCCTGAGTATCGGTATCGAGTTAAAAATGTTAGTATCTGTTAATTCTGACTAGGGTAATACTGTCTCTTAGGTGTCCTCCTTCTGTCTGCTCCTTTCTATGCACATCTGGAAGGCTTTTAATGTCCTGCAACGCTGCACCATTACAGCAATTTTAATTGTATCTGTATGTGTTATGTATTGTTTTATGGCTTTGTTGTAAAGCACTTTAGGTACCATTTGGCTATTGTAAAGGGCTATACAAATAAACTTGATTGACTGATTGAGTATGACAACCCTTGTACAATTTTACCCTGTTTAAAACTGATGATTAAATGCTTTTTTTTTTTCCTAAATCAAATTTTCTCTCAATGCAAAAAAGGAAAGAAAAAAAAAGAATAAACATACCCACATTGAACCCCATTTTAAAGTTTCTGGAGAAGCAAACATGGCAGATGTGTAATGTTTAACTAGTTTAACTAAAAGATGATAGGGGTGCGTGACAGAGATACATTTTTAAAGCATTGTTTTGTTTTTTCTTAACATGGAACAGAAACATTGTGGTCAACATATAAAGATTGTACTGTGGAAATGAGAAGGTTTCTAAGTGAGCAGCTGCATCACATCAACAGAAGTGAAAAGCTGACTGACGACAGCTGTCTTTACGCAAGCTTTAAACAAACAACATGTTTGACATGTTCAAGCTTGTTCAATTTGACTGAGGGGAACGAAGTCGAAAATAAATAAAGCTCTGCCCGGAGTGTTGTTTAATCAAAAGTAGCAATAAAACTGTCCAGAAAGCAGAAGTCAGTAAGGAGCGAAACAAGCAGCTGACTTCAGACAATGAGGCGGATAGCAGCGGTCCGGGAGCTAACGGCTTGTTCATATTCTACTGCTGGTCAAGCTAGCCGTTAGCCCTGCTGCTTAACCTAATTATAACTATGTTTAAAAATACTCACGCTAAAAAGCAAACAAACACATGGAATTGTTAAAATAATTGCAGCCATTAATTTGTCAAAAATGCTTTATTTCTTACCTAATATCGATAAATCACGCAGCGAGCTCTCAGCATCTGACCGACATTCAGTGTCGTGACGTGACCAGTGGCGTTCACAGCCCCGGGCGCCGGGGTCCTAGAGCCCGCAAAATCCACACTAAAAATCAATTATTTATGACCCCAAACAGTGGAAAAGCTAGATTTATTTTCCATTCTTTTTTCTTTTCTTTTTTTTTTTGTTTTGTTTAGAAGTTAGGCTTAATCAAGGGGGTCCAAAGACTATAGAATAAATTTGTTTCGCAATCATTTACAATTCTATTTTCTGAAGGTTAAATATATTTAAGCATAAAAAGGCTTAGATTTTATTTTGTACACACAATTGTAAACAAAAATAAAATTTATTAAATACAGCTCACTAGAACAGGGGTCTTCAAAGTTTTCCAGGCCAAGGACCCCCAAACTGATGGTGAGATGGAGGGGGGACCCCCTAATTATATATATTGTATGAAATTGTGTTATATCAAACTTGTCCTATAGTCACTCTATTACAGATGGAGTCAATTAAAGTAATTGTCTCCCTGTGATTATTAAAGTATTTCTGATTCCTCGTTGATGGGACAGGTGTTGTGAATGAAACGGTGCCCAGCTTGAAAGAGCTCCTGTGTGTCACTGAATGTGTGCCTTGATGACTGAAAGACATCTTCTGCCTCCATTTATCTGTTTACTACAGTGTGTTGAATTCATGTTAATGTGTATTTAAAGACATTACAATTAGTGGAAAAGTTTGCGGGGGAATATAAAAAAAAAAAAGTCTAATCAACCAAAACTTTCGTGACCCCCCATGCAGTACCTCCAAGGACCCCTGGTGGTCACGGACCCCCTGTTGAAGACCCCCAATCTAGACAATTTCATGTTTTAGAGTGCAGGTAAGCAGCAGTGATAAAAACATTGTGATGGAAAAAAGTGATGTAAACATATGACTGCATAGTTACAGTTCCGACTTTTTTTTTTCTTTTTGTAGATACGATTAGTGTGTTTAATTTTCTCTTTATAATAATGAAACAAAAACAAAAAAAAAATCTATAACACAGCTTGGCATATGTATGAGTTTGAATGTGTTTATTGAAGGGTGAATAGCCTAAAAACATTGAAGCAAAATAAAGTGCTATACAAGTACAGATAGTTTACCACATAAACCATTGTTGATGTAAAATTTGGTTAAATGTCCTTTGAAAGATTTTCATTTAGCCTCTTGTTTATTACACCTGTTAATTACTGACCAACAGTTGAAAGCCAATAATATCTCCCCGCTTTTTTTCCTTTATTAAATGGACCAGAAGTTTTTTTTTTCTTACAAAAAAGTACTACAGCACACCTGTAGATTAAAAAAAAGTTAAACGTTTTTAGGTAATTTGTATTTTTGTGAGTAACTTTTTTCACTTGTAACTGTAATTGTACTTTTCCTTACATTACTGTATTTTATGTTGAGTGAGTTTGTTTTATTTTTTTGTTTGCTTCTTTATTTTTTGCACTCTTTCCACCTTTGCATACCACCTCAGCACCAAGTATCATCATAGGGACAATCAGAATCAGAAATTGTTCCTATCCCTTTTAAATATTATTTTGTTAGAATTTCTTTAAAAAAAATATTGAAATAAAAGATTAATTAAAAGACCTATTCCTACACAATTAGAATTTTAAGATAAATCACAAAGTTGTTAAGGGTTCTATGTGAAATTCAGCATAAGGCCTCTGTCAGGGTGGGGAGTAGTGGAATATTATTGCTGTTTATGAGCAAAAACAACAGAAAAGTCAGTTTTTCCGGCCAGTGTATTTATATAATGCCAAATAAAACCAACTGTTATCACAAGCCAAACAAATAGAATTTAAATTATGTAATATATATTAAAGTAAGACTATATACCATCCAATTATATAGACAAATTCAGTTTTAATTATTAACAATTCAATTAGATCCCACTTATACCTCAGACCTGTTCCAGTTAAGGGTATAGCAGAAGCTGTTCTTTGTGCTTTGAGTTCAGAGCGATCATCTGTCCCATATGCCAATCTTTGTGACCTAGGCTATATACTTTGAAAACTTGAGCGATGAGGACAGATTATAAACAGAGCTGTGTACTTACTTGAATAGACTATTTAGTAAAGGAAAAGCCAACATCACAGATAAAGAAAGACTGTAGTTACAAAGATGGCCTATATGATTGAATAAAGTGAGACATGGTCGGGTAACTCGCCAGCTACGCTTGTGAATAAACAAACTAACCAACCACTCACAGATTAAAGCATCATTAATTAGCATCATTCACATGCAATCAAAGAGTGGGAAACAAAATACATAATTTATATGGTTGTATTGTATTGGCTTATTTGTCATATTCAGGTTAACAAAAAGTCCACAATGTTATTTAATATTAATTGAATTCAGTTTACTTATATAGCAGCAATTCATAACACATGTCATCTTAAGATGCTCTACAGAGACAGTTCAATCAGATCATACAGTCAGATATGATTTAAAGTCTTCTATCTAAGGAATATTTGTCATGAAATATTTAGGATGAGAATTAAGGGGTACGAATAACATGCAATAAAAACGTCACATAATCCACCAGCAGTAAAACAACAACAAACAGGTTTGAATCAATTCATAGAAAACAATCATTTCAGAAGAAATATTATAAAAGTTAATGCTCCCTTTATGTGTCTGGCCTCCCTAATTGTTAGTATGTCTAATAATTTTTTCATAACGTTCACTTATTTTGAATTTAAGTCGGATGTGTTGGTTGTCTGATATAGACCTAACTTTTCTCCTACTTTTTAGATACAAATTGTTCAGACCCTGCAAAGTGTTTCCTGGAGCCCTACCTCCATTCCTCTAGCAATCTTTAATTTAATCCTGGCAAACCTATTGTCTTTCACTTATACACTTATTTTTTTGCCACCATTGGTGTTAAAGCTGAGCTTGTCAACTTGAAAAATTTTCAAAACACTAAGCACTATAATCATCTTAATACTTGCTCAGTAAAAGTAAGCATAACCAGAATAAACATAACCAGGTACTTAGATTTGCAGGCAACAAAGACACAATGTCTGTTTCAAAGCATTTTTTTCTGTCAAGCGGACTTTAGTCAAGCATGCCAGAATCACAGGAGGAGAAGGAAGCCTGACAGGCTGCATTCCTAAGAAAATATCATTGCGTGCAAAACAAATGGAGGCTCTTTCATGACATGACTGTACATGACTGTTGATGACACAGAGTAAGCAAAGTTTACTGATGATCTGATGGATAAAAGTAGCAAGAAAATATATGTGGCCCATCACAAAATGCTGTTTGTTCAGACTGAGATGAGGTTGATACAAGTCTGTCTCCAAAAATAAAACATCTCACCAAAAGGAAAAACAATTTGATTTTCTGCAGGTACCTAATAGGTTTGTATGGAATGAGATGATGAGCATCTGCTGTTCAGTTTTTGCCTGATGGAAAAAAAAAAAACGTTGTGGTTTAAATCTGAGCATTAGGGGTGGAGTTTGCATGTTTTTTTTTTCTTCACATGCAGGGTTTTACTATAAGCATAACTTCCTGTCAAAGTATAAAACCCTGCAAAATTATGCAAGTGTTAATGTTGGTTTGCATCTGTTATGGACTGGATACTTTTTAGAAAGTGCCCTACCAAAAAAAATAAAAAATAAGGATAAGGCCCAGAAGATCTTAAGCAGGATTATATAAACAAAAGAGAAAAGCTTATAAGTGGCAGGAGAAAATATTAAAAGTTTTAAAAATTAAGCAAGTGTTTACTTGTATAGTTCCATCATACAAGCAAAATGAAACCCAAACAAATACAAGCCCTCAATGGTTCAAATTAAATAATCAATTTTTTTTTCTGATTTTCTCTTTCTTTTTTATGATTATAAGAGGGTTCATCACAAACTGTTATCATTTGGAAGATAAAGGAAGAACACGCAACAACCAGGTTTGATTACCGTGTTTACTCCACTTTGATTTATTAGGAAAATGAAAAAGGCACCAAAACACACATATCTGTAAACCTCAACATCCTGTTGTCATGGAAGTGTGTTTAATTGTGGACCCTACAAGTCCAAGACCCTTGGCTTGATCAACTGGTTGTAACAGCTGAGCATGAAGACCTTATAAAGCCAGCGCGGTGCACCTTACCCTTAAGGCAAGGCTTAGGAAGCCGAGGAGAAGCTGTGATGGCTGATGAGTCTCTGGCCTGGGGGGAAGACAGTTGCTCATTAAAACCATGGAGGAATGAGGTCCAAGGCAGGGAATCAGGGTTGCTACCTCTTGATTGTATGGATATCGATGTATATGGATGTACAGTGGTTAAACTGCTAATTGCAAGACACTAAGAATTTAATAAGGCTGCCATTTCATCATGCAAAAGAAATCAAAATAAGGATTATTAATAAAGATTATAGTTGTGCTCTTGCAAACACTTTATTTAAAAATGTAAATGCCCTGGAGCTTTAAGGATTATCTGATTTCCATGTTGCTCAAACAAATCTTTACAGTTTTGAAAAATACTCTTCCAAAATGTGTATAAAAGTTATTCAAGGGAAGACGTGAAACTTGTAGGGAGCTTAATTTCTATAAAAGTTTTTAAAAAACATTTAATCCACAATTAATCCTCCAAAAAGATGTTCAGTTATAGGGATTAATTCTGTTTTTAAAAATTCAAATGTATGTTATCTGTTTAATTATTAAGATCATTATGTTGAAGACTTTGTTATATAAATCCTAAACAAATGCTAATATGATTTTTTTTTCTTTCTTCTCTTTTTTTTTTTCCTGTTTAGGATTTTTGTATAGGATTTGTTGAAAAAAAGGTCCAATGTAAGATTAGTAGAATTTGTTTATATGAATTACTTAAGCATCGTCTTTTTCATAATTTCTTTTGTGTAATTCCCAGAACTAAAACATGTCTGGAAGAAAATAAAGCAGACTTGGATGAAAATTTTTACAAAAAGAAAGAAACAAATAAATAATCCATAATAAGAAAAGAAAAATCCCTCAAAAACTCACCCTTTGCTGCTTTTTATTGCCGCAAGCCTCTTCCT